ACGTTGCAATTTTCTGTGCTTTTAATTGCCTAATCAGCTTAAACGTGGCTCCATTAGCGTGCATTGTCAATTCTTTGATATTCACTGTATTCCTATGACTGTAAAATTGATAAAAAGCCATTTTAAAAGGTACATCGCGGCTTGTGTTAGCGAACGACAAGATTGCAAGGCAGTCGTAACTCATGCTGTAGTGACGTTCGATGCCACTGACAGAGCACGTAGTACTTAGGTTAGGTTAGTTTGCAGCGTACTTATCGATTTAGTCGCTTTATTGCAAAACATCACTAAACCCGGCTAAAGAGTGCGTGAACTGTCATTCTTCAAGGCTTTCGGTATGACTGTAATAAGGATGAAATCAGCTACCGAAACTTTTCACCTAGCTGTAATCTATTTTCAAGGTTATTTACTTATAGTTCTCATGATTGCTTTTCCTCATATTCTTGTCTACTCATATCACTCGAGCCTTTAAATTGTTCGCCAACTTTCAGATATTCTGTATTTTACCGATATCTTTTATTACGATGCAGATAAAGGAACATCCTGCAATGGTTCTGAAAGCTTCGTTGGTATCGAATTTATATTTTTTGACTTACTACTATTTCTACCTTACTGATTATATCAGTAAGGTCATATTGTATTAGAAATGACTTGCTGTGACTGCGGACCTCGGACACGGAAAACACTTTTCACCGACTGCATGAATAGAGCATAAAATGACTGCACAAGCTTTAAGCAGCATTCTGGATCACCTTTCTTTGTTTTCTCATTTGAGACTTCGTAAAAGTGGGATCAGCCACGTTATCAATGTGTAATAGTAGTGACGCACAAACCAGACAGTTTGCGCAAGGTGGTACGGCATCAGAAATAGTCCAATAATTCGATCCTCTGCTATATTGAGTGCCGACGAGTATATTGACCTCACTTTTGGAGCTTCTCTGATTTGTGAAGTATCGCATTATTAAAGGTGCATCCTTACGTTGATTCTCTGAACATGCCAATCGCGAAACAAGCCATAGTGAATGAATTAATACTTTTGCAGTCGTTGACTTCTATGTCAACTTGAACACTTTTTCCAGATTATTTTCACATAAAATATCGGCAGACTGACGGAAATAAAATTGCGTCGAAAGCACACACAGTGATATTTTCATTGAGGCAAGGGCAAAATAAAGTACTGCAGTGCTTTTATAAGAAATTGTATGCTTGAGAATTTGCTGCTGTAGTTGTTGAAGCATGTTCTTGAAGATTTACCTCAGTTACGAGTTGAATGTGTCTTCTCTGCTTGTAAGTGACCGTTCAGGAGTTCAGATGATTGATTGTCGGTAAAATTTTTAAACATTCGTATTCATCTCATCAAACCTAACCACGTCTGTAAAATCAGTTTTACATGCGATTCGCCTTTCGGAAAACACCTCATTTTCTAATGTTCTGATTTATTCCAAATTCTTTCACGCGTGTTTTTGTTGCAGTCTGAAGTTTATGACTTAAAATTAAAATTGTTCTCTAATTATCCTTCATTTTTACTTTCTCTAACGATCGACTTCAGTTTCCTGTGGCGGCGAGTTAACGTCAGCGAGAGGTTCGTTTTCTTCTCCTCGTTATTCTGACGTTTATGTTAACAACATAACTTGCGATTGGACTATCAGACCCAGTTCAACAGACGGCTACGTGTTTATTAATCTGAAAGTGTTCGAAATTATTTCTAACACTGCCGACTGTGAGGATGACTTTCTTGTGATTTCTTCTGTGTTTCCTGACGGAAAAGAAACCAGAATTGGAAGGTATGAAATGTAATTCACGAAAGCTGCTCATTTTCTAATTTTCTCTCATTTAAGGTACTGCGGTAGTAGCTACGTAGTTAATTTGGTGAGCAAAACGAATTTCGTGAAGGCCGAGTTCCATTCAAATAACCGTTTCGTTGGCAAGGGCTTTCTTGCCGAATACCGGACCGTTGGTGAGGCGCTATAATCACTGTATGGGGACGAATAAGAAGCGATTTTGTTTTAGCGAACTATTCATGCGATTACTTCTCATGTCTGAATGGAGGCACATGCTACTTCGTGAATGAAACTAAGCATCTGAAATGCCGTTGCCGAGACGGATTTGGAGGAGACCACTGTCAGACAGGTGTGTTTCTGATGTAGTTACGTTTTTATGCCAAATACTACTGCCTTGCTTCTAGACGTGGTCTGTTCCTCGTCCTTATGCAAACACAACGCCGGCTGTCAGAATGCCACTTGCATATGCAGCGAAAATTTTACAGGCCGTTACTGTGAAACTCTAAGTACGCCATTTGGGTTATTTTATGTATGATATTCGAATTTAAAATTAAAATAACTAGTTCTGAGAAGGTAATGACGAGGGAAAAAACTAAGTTTAGCCCAGTGACAAGAAATTGAAATTTCGCGTATCATATGTCCAGCAGTGGTGTTGTGACTGTCTAATACCTTCACTTCCTTGCTGCCTGCAGTGATACAGGTAACGAAATTTGTTGTGCTGTTCATGCTCGAAAGTTACCTTATATTCGAGCAGTAAATTTCCATAGACGAGTTTCAGCGCATTTCTGCTATGCCAATGCAGTATAATGTCTTTCGACAGTCTTAACCTGTTTAGTAAACAGCCCTGTTGAGCAGACCTTATAGCATAACAACATCGTCACCGGTCTCATGAGAACGAAATAAATAACTATTCGTGATATGCGAATCCGCTTTCATTAAAACATTTATGGCAGGCTCTGTAAACGAGAATTTTAGTTTATATCTGATCTCCTTTTATTAATTTTCTTCTCTTTCGTATATTTTCACCATTGTTCCACCACCTTCATTTTTTTTCATTTTGCTTATGTTTTATGTTATTATCATGTATCTTATTCCTTATATTTTATTTCTTTAATTATAATGTTTCAATCGTCTAAATGCTGATCTTTGTTATTCGGGACAACGATATCTCCTTTGTGCTTAATTTGTGCTAAGGAAGTTGGGTTCGAAATGGCAGCAGCATTAGGTTTTCTACAGTCTAGCCACCTGTCTGCCACTGGGTATTTTTCCCTATGGTCTTCCCATAAGAGTGCGCTATGGAGTTTTTCTTGTTGCATCCTCATCACCTGTCGATACCATCGCAATTACGATCTCTTCTTGAAAAGGCGCATCTTAAAATCAGGTGAATCATGAACTTAGTCGTCTCGTTATACCAATTATTCTTCGATGAAGTCGCATTTTTCCCGTCTCTTCACCGTAATCGTGGCGTAATTAACTGCACTGCTTTTCGCTTCTAGAAACCTGGAAAATGTTTCAGCAGGTCATCGATCCTTGATGTTTGAGCACCGGATTGCATGGATGCAAAACCGCCTCACCATGTTTGGTCGAGCAAGTACGCTTCAGAACTAGCTGAGTTTGTCCAAGCAGCTGCCGATAGTGACCAAAGGAAATTCTACAATCCACTGATATTTATATACTCAGCACGTGACTGAAATATTCGGGGCAGCTGCCAACACTAGTCATTTTCAGTGCTGCCGACCAGAACCATGAAACAGAGTGATGTTGTATCCTATTCATGTAGTGCAGATGTTCTACCCATGAGTTCCTAAATGTTTGGAATTAAACCATAGAAGTGAATGCGCCGTGATAACGCAGTGAAAGGATACGATATATTTCTGTCCAGCATCAGGGAAACTGCCATTGTTGGCAGTCACCCCAGAGTATCATTATCATTCGCCGTATGAGCCACATTTCTACCTCTTGTATCTAGGATTGCATTCTTTCGTTCAAGATAAGCGGTTCAATTCCCACATAATGATGTTCGCCTGGCTGACTCGTGTGTCCGTTTCTACTTCCTCTCTGTCATAACTCATGAAAAATATTCACGAATATCTACACTTCTCCTGCTTCAGTTGCATTCCAATAACCTGCAAATCACGGCGTTGGTGCTTTGTGTGAATGCAGTAGCGTCTGGCTAGGGTCTGACTGATTTTTATCGAGGTCATCAAGCGCATGTTTAATAGTCATCGTGCGAATGCTAAGGGGATGACCACTTTCCTGAACTAGATGACTCCGTCAGACCTCTCCAACTTTACCGTTTTCTCTGGGTCGCGCTGATAGTCATTTAGCAAGGTCTTCATGCAGAGCATTTCTTTGCTTGAAAGAGGAAACTCGGCCTTAAATTTTCTTTTCCATTCATTTTGTTTTTTCTATATTGTTGCCTGCGGCTGAGCAAAATTTAAAGTGCAATAGTACAGTGCAGTACGAGCTTCAGTTTTCCATGACGAGACTAATTTCTTGTTGCTAATTCGTGGAGTCTGTTATATCTAAAGTAATAACCAGCCTAAGCTATTATTTTTGTTTTTCTGTTACCATCTTTCATGTTTTAAATGTATACATTTTGTAGTCAACTCTGTCGTTACTATCACGGAATTCCCTGCACTGATAAACTCGTTGAATTATCCACTTCCATACCCAGCTAATATAACGCAGAAGTGGATTTTGCTTGCTCCGCATGTGATTGTTCTGCGTTTCAAGTACTTCAGCATTGATTCCACTTCGAGTTCTCTTCAGCTATTCAATGAAACCGATACCATGGCGACGTATGACACTTAAATCATGCTATAATTTCTTTTTTGACATGCACCATTCAGACTTACCGGAACTGTGCTGCCGCCTGATTATTTTGCGAGAAACGAAATGAATCTGACATTCACGGTTGGCACCGATTTGTACGACAGTGGTTTCTCAGGATTCCTCATTGAAGCTGTGGCTGGTACGTACTCTCATCACTTCTTTTATTTCTGATGGCAATGCGGGACTTACCGGCGTAAAGCGGTTAAGTTGTTTTTAACTGTAAGCTGCACTTTCAATACATATTCATAGGAAATCAACAGGTTACAAAATTTTAGACAATTTTTTTTCTAATTTGTCTTGGTGTTGTTGTCATCGTCATCTGGGGTGTTAGGGTCACGGGATAGAGTACCCAGATTAACGATTTGTGACGATTATCTGCTTTAATTCTCCTATGGTACAGTGTGTTATTTTTTGGTATCCGTTTAGCACCTCAGTGTAGTCTCTATTCACCACTTTGAACGTACATCTTGAACTACTATTTTTTGAACACAATCGCTATGAATTCTCCGAGTGATTCAAAGTGTAGTGTATTCTCGTGCGCTAGCAGAGTTAATTGCGCAGAAAGCGGGTGTGTATGCCTGCAGCTGATTCAAGGTCGATTCGATTCATGAAAACTTTTCATTGCACTGTTTTGAGCACTTCAATGAGTTTGGTTACAGCTTACAGTTTAAGTGATTTGCCTAGTCCTACGCCAGACCATTGTGGATTTGGAAATTCTTCGCCTTTTGGATTTTCTTACGCTGTTATTTCCGGAGTTTGGTTACACTTGCTGCGTTGGTTTTCTTAGTTGTAGATCCTTGAAATTTTGTTTTGTTATCAAAAAATTTCAGTACTTTGAATGCGAGGTGCACTCATTTGAGCTGCTTTCTGATTTCGTACTGGCATGAAGCGTTACAAGCAAAAGGCCTGGTACGAATCTAGTTTCGATTGAATGAGCATCTATCATAATCAAAAAATAGAAATGTTGTTGTTTAACTGTGTTATATCGACTAGCTGTAATTTGGCTTGGTCATCGGGACGTTTAGCTCTTTAAAGGCTGTTAATCTCCATGTCTCGGAAGTCTCTAAAGGGATTGCGAAACTACTACATGTCATTCTTTAGTCAGCACGATAATGTCCCTGATAAGTTTATGAAGGTTATCCATGCCATTGTAAACATTCTTGAGTGAACAGCATTGCATTTACGAATGGTTGTCTTGAGTTTGACTATTTCAGGCTTCCTGCCGATGCAAAGGTGTTTGCAGTTGTTTCTTGTCATTTGACGTGCCGCATTCCTGCTGTTCATGTTGTTCTTGTATCGTCTTTGGCCATATTACAAAATTAGAGGCTCTCTTAAAATTTCTGACATCTGCTTGTCTCAACGGATTCATTTTTCATTTTGCTATCATGAACGCTCATTGCGTCGGTGAAGGAGTGATCTTCGATAAATCTGCTGTAAATACTTAGAAAGGGTTAGCTTGTTTTGTAGGCTGTTGAAAAATCTTGTTGCTCCTACAAGAATCATTTATCTATTAATATTCTACTCTTCATAAGATATGGTTGCGAAAATACGGCAAGGCTATTTCACCTAGAACAACAGAGCACTTTAAAAGCCAGCAAGCAAACGGCAAGAACGAGGAACGACTGAACAGGCTAAAGATACCATGTTGCAACAAAAAGTGCAGTTTATCTTAATTGTGTTAAATCCATCAGCGTATCGAGAAACAGCCATGAAAGGGTGCTGACTGGTGTCTTATCGATTCGGTCTTCTAATGACATGATGAGCAGCTCCTGCAAATTGGAACCATCAGATATGTATCTAGGTCAGAGTAAAATAATACTCGGAATGGTTGTGACAGTAGAGGAAGGTGCCGCTGTTCATGTTATATCAGGACGACCAAAAAGCAATTCATTATCCAATGGCTGGATTCTTCTGACCCCTCGCAGCTTCAGTTCATTGGTCAGAATCTTGTGCTTGAAGACAAATATGCAGTCGATAACCGGACCTGTTTGCGTTGTGTGCCATTTGGCCAAAAATCAAGTCCAATGGAATCTGTCACACTTCTTAAACATCGTGTTTTTTACGCTCTTATCACCGGAAATGTAGCAGTATATTTTTCAAGCAGCTCGCGTCATTAAATAGGGTCACATTTACGAAAGTTTCGTCAGACGGCTGCTGCTGATTTTGGCGTTATAAACGTTGAACTAGAATCAGTGATTTTCTTAGCTACTAAGGTTGCTACAGTTTGTTGCAGCCCAATTAAAAACCAAATTCTGTTTGCAGCTCGCCTGCGAATTGCAAGGTTACGATCGGCAGTTCTACAAAATCGAATCCTCCCGTAGACCCTTTCAAGTTAATTCCTCAGCGTTTCAGGATGGATTCAAATATAGCGATCCGGAACGGAAAACTGAAAGCCATCTCAAATGGAATGTGTTAACGGGGTTAGCGAATGGCTAAACTGATAAGACTACAGATGGCTGTATTGGTTAAAATTCAAAAAAAAATCCTTCAAATTGAACTCAATAAAGTCAAAATAAAAGAACCACATGACCAGAACTGCGTGGTTGGATATATACAATTACCTGCAGATGTCGGGAGGTTTGGACTGGAGAAACAGAAAACACGTTTGAAGAACGAAGAAAATAACATGTAAGTAACATGACTAAGTAAGAACATGCCGACTGCTGAAAAAGTAAGCAGCTTCATTTGGGTGAAGGAAGAAGAGAGATGAAAAATCCCGTTGCCGTCAGAACTGAACACAGAAAACATTGTGCGATTGTGCAACACAGTTTCAGCGGATTCGATGTGTCTTCATCTTCCATCGCCGCTTCTCCTTACGGGTCGCAGAGCAGACGCGTCAGACAGTGCTTCCAACGTTGCCGATCCTGTGTCAGAGTCTGAGCTTCGGCAAAAGACAAATGCAGTTTGGAACAGAC